TATATATATATATATATATATATATATATATATATAAACAGAAAGTGATATTTCAACGCCAAGGAAGCAACTCTTTTTGTCTGTATCGTCGTCCCTGTACTTGTGTTTCTTCTCTGGTCGAATAATATTCCTTGTTGTGTGTGTGTGAGGCTAGCGGTCAGAACCTTCGGGGTCAGAGTTCACGCCTGCCCGCGTCTTCTATACATAAGCTATGATAGTGGTCTGTCACGAAACCTGCTATTGATAGAGAAAACATGCTACATCAACCTGTATTTATAACCGACTATAGATGAAAATCGTTCGTGTTATATCTAAGCACAGTTTAAAGCAATTGCCGAGTGGGGAGGGGGTGAGTGGGGGGAAAGTTACATTAACTCAACGTTTCAAAATATGCCTGAGGTAAACGGTTTGGTTGAGTATCGTAATAACCTATATGTTAATCCATGTTTGGGTGGAGGTAAAAAAAAAATTAAATACATTAAAAAATGTATGTTAATGTCATATACATGCGTATAAACATAGGCTACTTAAATAATTTTAAATTTGTCAGGCAATAGAACACGGGGACCGGTACATGTTGGCCGGAAAGTCCACGAAGAGAGGGTCAAAACTGACCTCGACTGACCGGCTGCTTTATAACAAAACAGCGTCCTCTACTGTCGTTGAAAAAAAGGCAATAATTTATACTTACTATAAAAAAAGAATAATATATACTAAAGCTATTTTTAAATAAAATATTTCACTAAACAGTCCACGTTTAATTATCAGACTTTTTTTTTCAACACAAATTAAATATTCGTCTTAATCTACCCTTCCGTATAAAACTTTTTTTCCAAAAGCATAGCTTCGCCTACTCTGGTTCTAATTCGAGGAACAATCTTAATAATTAAAAAAATTATCTATATCTGAAAATATACTCATAACTAAACTAAAGCAACAATTATTTAATGACTTCTTTAACTGACTCATTGCAACATTTCTCATTCATCTATTATATTCTCATTCTATCTCATGTTGTATTATTTAACTATGTCATAGTATTTCTTTATTTCAAATTTTTTAATGCAATGTCACTGCTTTGTCTTTACTACTCAATTGCTTTTTATTGAAATACTGTTATTGCGTTGTTGTCAGGGGCGGAACTACAGTGCCGCCAGACCCCGCAATGCGGGGGGGGGCCCAGACCAATTGGGGGCCCAAAAATCCTGGCTAAATTATTTAAAAAAATAAAATAAAAAAAAAATTAGGTGGAGGTCGAGTTATCTTTCTTCTACAGTTACAAACAAACACGATAGTCGGCAAACGTCTTTGAGAAAAATGCACAGACTATAGCTCGAGAGACCGCCAGACATATAGACAACTTCAAAGACGAAGCATCTGAAATTTGACTGTGCCGGCACGCTTTGAAATCGGGCTGGGGAAATGTTGCGGCGAGGCGACTATCCTGGTCTTCTAGAGGATCGGAAAAAGTCGGCACTATTGATGTAGATGTTTATCGGCGCTTTCTTGTCCCCTTCCCTTCCCAACTCTCTCCCCCCCCCCCTGCCCCCTACCCATCACCTCTACCCCTCACCACACCCTTACTCTTACAATAAGATGTAATGCATAGATTAACGAACCGTCTAGGAACTGTAAACTGACCAGTTCTGCACATTTTGTTAAAGACACTAGTCAGTAGTTGTTCATTTACCTGATGAACAGGGGCGGAACTACAGTCCCGCCAGACCCCGCAATGCGCGGGAAGGGGGGGGGGCAGGCCGTTTAGGGGCCCACGGCTGACCAAAATTAATATTTTTTTAAAATTTTGAATTTAATTTTTGCCTTAATATTTGGTTTGTAAAAGAAAAACACTGTAGCTGCGGTACGATTATCTTTATTTTACAGTCACTATACCACGCTCTTCCGCAAAAGATAAAATCCATTACAGAAACTACAGTGTAAAATATAGGCAACTCTTCAAATTTTGAATGACTTCTTTGACTCGTTGCCCCCCCCCCTCCCTTTGATAGCTTAAAAGAGGACACGTAACTGTTTGACCGATCCTCCAAAGTGTACTGTGGCGGATGGGGCAGGGGATGGGGACCAAAAAGGGGGTTAAAAATTGTCGACAATTTTTTTTACATATTTAAAACAGTTATTTATAGTTGAATTTTTTAACCTTCGTCAAGGCCGAGTTCTATTTCCCTACAATCAAACACACGCTGTCGCCGGCAAAATTCTTTTTAAAAAAACAACAAAGTCCATAGCACGAAAAGCCGCTACATATGAAGTGGGCTTTCATGATGCGCGGTGTTTATTTGCGGCATTGGTAGGGGACCCGAAATCCATTGTACATTTTTCAATGTTAATATGTGTTTGTGATAGTGGTTGAATTTGTATCCTGTACTATCTTGTATCGTACAAATAATTTTAAAAAAATAATATAATACTAGAAACTTCAGTTTTATATACTATACGTTTACTTGTTTTTGATTTTACAAGAAATATAGTAATTTTTTAAGGCCTATACTTCAAATTATCTCCCCTGAGTAAGTTTTACAATGGGCGATGCTGACGTACATAGATCAAGGCGTTTTGTTGTCCCTTTCAAGTTTTTTCCCGAGCCGACCCCTATCCCATCCCACTTTTTCAACCTCACAAGTATCGAGGAGATAAATGTATCGTTTATGAACTACTTCCTAACCGTACGATTCACCACTTCAGCACATTTTGTCAGACACTAGACAGCACTAGATCTAGTCAACACATATTAATTTACTTTCATAGTATCAGGCACATCTAATTCACAAAACAGGGCAGGTAAGATTATTTTTTATATAATTATTTAGAAATTAATTAGAACGTTTAGAATTAATTGAACATTATTAATAGTCATTGAGGTGGGGGTGTGTGAGGGTCTGGCTTTTTGTTAATCCCCCCCCCTCCCCTAAATCAGAAGGTTATACAACGCGTGACCTGGCCACATACAGTTGTACATGTGAAAAACATTTTTCTCTCTATTATTATTATGCATTACTGCATCATTCACCCAATCGCCATGAAAACTTAGGAAGCTGTTGAGTACAACCCCGCAAAGGTTTCTGTCATAGGCCTAACATTTGTACATATTTGAGTGGGGACTCCTAACGGAAATATGTGATTTAGCCAGTGGCGTAGGCAAGGGGGGCTAGAAGGGGTCGTAACCCCCCCCCCATAGACCCCTCGGTATATATATATATATATATATATATATATATATATATATATATATATATATATATATATATATATATATAAATATATGGGGGGCCCAAAAAATCTTTTTGCGGGGTGGCCCATTTTTTCTAGTTCCGCCACTGGTTGTTGTGGTTGTTTTTCTTAAACCATCAGTATAAAAAAGGCTTCCGTGCCTACTGTAGATACTGTTATTGAATACATATGAAAAAAAAAATTCCCGCAAAACTGGCAACGCCCATGCATCCCCTTTCCTTTCTCTAAAAAGCCTGACTAAGCCTATTAAAATACAGTATAAATATCAACGCAATTGAAAGATTGCATCACAAAAAAACCTCTTGAGTAGACGAGTACACTTCATCTGTTGTTTTGACAGCCGATTGTCCTGTTGAATTGCATTTTGTCAACAAAACTACCGTGAGTACGTTAATTAAATTGCTCAGCTAAACCTCCATTTCTCTTACAAATGGGTCTACGACAAAGGCCCAAAAGACACTTGCCCGAATGCCGTTTGCCCGAAGGCCGATATCCCGAATGGACACTTGCTCGAATGCGACAAATGCCCGAATAGATAGTTTGCCGAATGCGACAAATGCCCGAATAGATAGTTTGCCGAATGCGACAAATGTCCGAATGGACACTTAACCAAATGGGACAAATGACCGAATGCAACTTGCCTGAAAGCTATTTGTCCGAAAAATTTTAACATTATAAACTACCAAATAATCATTCTTAATCAATTACAATACTTATCAAAAAAAAAAAAAAGAAAAGAACAAATAAACCGAGAGTTATCTCTCCTAAACTTTCTCGATTATTCTCATATAACACTAATGGTGATGGCATTTCGTGATATAGGAATGATTTTATATTCATTTTTAATTACTTTTTAAAAAAAATAGAATAGAATCTCGTAGAAAAATTAAATGCGCACCAAGTGAACGCCAAACAATCTGTGTATAATAGTGCGGAATATTATTAGTACTTTATAAATCCACATGCATTTTTTTGAGAAATCGGAAATAGCGTAAATTACTACTTCGGTTCAACGGACATTACTAAAAATTTGAAAGATGGAAACGAATTAGATCTTTTACTAATGTGTAAAATTTCGTTTTTCTATCTGAAAGGATAGTCAAGTTAGAGGCTTTTGAAAAACCAAAAGTAGAATAAGTTCCAGTCTGGTTACAGCAAATCACTGAACAGTTGAACTACAAATTTTATATAATACTTGTATATGAAATTTCATCAACCTAGCTGTCACGATACTCAATTTATCGTGTATACAGACACACACACACGTACACACACAGACATACGGAAAGAATTGCAAAGCCCATATTTTTCCGACTCGATTGCGCATAGAACGCTGAAATTTTGATATATCTGCATTTATCATTTTTGTCCGATTAAAATAAGTCCCTTATACTTCGTATATGATGAAGTACTGAGTAGTATTTCCTCCAGACTTTTTTCTCCGGGTTGGGGGGGGGGGGGGGGGGGGAGGGCACTTGATATTTTCGGGGAAGGGAGGGACAATTTATAGGGGGGGGGGGGGGTGGCGGACACTGGTAAAAGTATGTTTTCTTTATAAATTCCATTTTGTTCGGGGACTGGGAGTGGGGCTGTAGATTTTCTTCGGGGTGGGAGGGTCGCAAAGATGCCTAATTGCTCATATTCAAACCTAATAAATCACTTTTTGTTATGCAGAAGGGTATATATAAATAACATAGCTAGTGCTAGTTTATAATATAAGTATTTCTTTTTTTTACAGGCGTTCAATAAAGATGCTTTCTACGTTAACGGCTGTTCTACTTAGTTTGGTGGCTTACGAAGCTGTTGTTGGGTGTAAGAATAAACACGTTCGAGCGCTGTCAAAGTGTTATGACGGATATTTTATCTCGGGTTTCCATAGGGAAAATAGACGAAGTTGGAATGACGATCCCCTGCAAAAGTTAGAAATGGCTCAATGCAGCACTCGAAAATGGCCTTGGACAAACTCAAAAACCCAAACCGTGTACGCTGATTGGTGGGGAACGTTAGACAGAGACTATTCTTGGGCTGTTTGTCCAGCTGGTTATTTCCTGAATGGTTTGTACAGAAGTGATAACACCCCAGGTCTCTTACATAACATCGAAGAAGGGAGATGCTCCAAGCCAGCCGACCACCCCCCATACCATGGACACTGCTATAACCATGATATCACTGCATGCTTTGATAACAAAGGCTTATGTAGATGTAACAATGATTACTACGTCGCTGGGATATATCGCGGTGGCTGGGATTATCTCTACTGTCTAGAAACACTGAGATGTTGTAAGACAGTTTCAGCACCTGAAGAACTAGACGAGCTGTACAAGGTGAAGACACGTATCATGGACACCACGATGTCAGACATGGCTTCATTGGCTCATTTTTTGGGTTATGGCTGGTGCGCGGGTTGTAGAGCAGCGAATGTTGGAGAAGATTTTAGAAGAAGTGGCGACACATGGAACGCTGATAAAAGTGGACGCTGTGACGGTTACAGAAGTGACTATCGTCTGAGCATGGCATATGGTGATTGGAGCTTTACAATAAAGGACTTCAAGTACGGAACACCTGTGGTACAAGACTTATTTCCCGAAACGATTGACTCTGGTACTATATATAACAATGACCCGACGGATGCTACAAAAACTATCACGAGATCTGAGACCAGTGTCCGTAGCGTCACCCACACCACAACAAGCTCTTGGAAATACAGCCACGAACTGAATGTCCAGGTGAGCTACACACCGCAACCAATAGGGGGTTTCGGAGGGTCTGTCGGCTACAAGTTCAACTATAAGACCAGCACAACGACATCAGATGAAACAAGGAAAGAACAGTCGAATACCTTTACGGTAGATACATCGAAAGTTCTGAAACCCAATTCCGCAGCTAAATGGAAACTTGTTGTGTCTAAGTCGAGGACATCAGTTACCTATACAGCTACTATTATAGCGAAGTTTTCCACAGAATTTAAAGGTTTTCTGCGTTGGGGTGAAGGACCACACGGTAAATATACCAACTATCATTACCAGTATCGTGGTAGCTTAGATCGTCCCACATTTAACTACAGATTTGGTGACTCCAGCATTCCCTTCTACACAGCCCTGAAACGACAAAGCGAAACCAACTCGCAGCCTTGGTTGTGGAGCGACATGAACAACGCCCATCCGTCTGCACAAAATTTAATCAACGACTTGTGTAATGAAAACAGGTACGTCTTCAAAATAACTGGCAGGTTTGATGACGTCATTGGCAAACACGTCGAGTTCCGCTGGGAGTCTGCTCCGTTACGCAAGCGATCAGCCGACCGTAGCGAGAAGGTGCCTGATGTCATACACCAGAACTCCACTCACGTCGCCTTGGCTCTGTCTAACGATGTTCCACTGGTGAAGCTTGAGCCTCCTAAAGTCAACATAGAGATCGTGAACCAAGCTAAGATTGAGAACCTCGAGTTAACTGGTTCTTAGTTATATAAAAGGAAATGTTTACTATGCATCATATATGTTATACCTTAGTTGTACCATTTATACTATTAAATTGTATGCTTGATAGGTAAATCATAAAAAAGCCACTTAACTAGAGGGATTTTGCAAGGGTTTGGACATTATTTACTATTAGTGACGAAAAGATTGGGATTAGAGAGTGCTACATCACATTTTATTTTATTCCTTTAAACACTTTTTTAAATTGCAAGTTTAATTTTATTTTTTTTTGGAAATAAAGTAAAAATCACCAATATAGGCTGCTATAGCTGAACTCAAATTTGTTAATATCCAAGAAAGAAGTAACGTGTATATTAAGGGCAGGGAGATAAAGCTGGAATGAGACGTGGTTTTTAGCCGAGGGTTTATGAATTTAAAAAAAAATATATAAATGCCATGGATGGTTTGCTATAATTAATTCGATTGAAGAAGAAATTTAATTTATTTCAAAATTAATATATTTTAATATTTTTTTTATCATTGTCTACATTTTTGAAAACAATTCCCATTTAAAATCATAACGTACTTAATGTAACAGCAAGCCCTGCATATTTTTAGACAATCGTTACGTGTGCTAATAAAACTGCATGTGCACTGCGTTCAACAGGATTTGTGAAAATTTACATTTTTCATTAAATATCTATATGTAAATAAGAACATATGAAGAAATATAAACGCTGTCGCAAAATTTAAACGGAAACATAAACACTAAAATAAACCTAAAAATAAAAAAAAACGCGAACATAATAAAAACGTAGAACTTAATGAAAACACACAAAATAAACGCAAATATATTAGGACGTAATTTGTATAATTGTTCAGATAAAATTAATATGTGTATAAAGGATAATACATTTTCTTCTGACGTTTTGAATATTCATTTTTTCTGGGTATTCAAGCGCAGAAAATCTGCAACTAATATCTCTAATAATTCTATTCAGCGGCGAATAACAGATGTGTCAGCAGATGTTAAAGAACATATTTTGAATAAAATCAGGCCTTCATTATTGGATAGTTTTCCAGTTGAGGGACCAACGGACTCGTTTTTGTTCATGCAAAGTGTCCTAAGTTTGTTAATAACAATTGAAAAGATTGTCCATAATTTCCGATTTTTAAAGTACATAAGTATACCTGTTAGTCTTAAAAAACTGTGTTTCCGGGGTCAATCTTAAATGACGTCACGCTTGTTTGACAATTTTTATATTTCCCCTTCTCTCCCACTGTCACACATCATCACAAAAAAAAACCCAGACCCCCATATTCAAAAAGACGTCACACCTCAGGTAAAAATGGGTCTAACAAAGTTATCCATTCATATGCTGAAGACACAGAAAAAGGTGAACTCTACTTCACCTGCCCCGTGTCCCGACATGTCCCGATAGGCAACTTTATCATTCACATCTATAAAAAAAAGGGAAAAAGAAATCTAACATTGAAATGATGTTTCCGACCCGTATCACCCGCATGGTAACTATTACACTGTCATCTCGGCCAGCTGGAAACATACAATATTCATGTTTTAAAATAGGGCCCTAATTTGTATGTTTCTATTGTTTTTATTAGCCATGTATGCTCTTCTCTATCAAAGGCTTTTTGTTAGTCTATGCTTAGTATTGCTAACTGCGTGTTTTTCTGTAGTGTATAAAGTCCCTGATAAAATGGGCGTGATTTTTTGTTTCTTCCCTTCAGGCTATACTTTAGGTCTTGGTGTATTACTTTTTCTATAACGGGCTCAATCTTCTTTACTAATGTTTTTGTCAGTATTTTATAGTCACTGTGTTTTGAGAGAAATGGGTATGTAGCTGGTTATTTTAGTTCTGTCTGAGTCAAGTTTTGGGATTAGGGTGATTTATGCTCTGTTAAAATATGTCGTGCAGTACCCTCTTTCATTCATACTTTTGTTTGTTGCCTGTAAGATCGATAAAATATATTTTTTTGATAGTTTTGTAAAATTCATTTATTAAGCCGTCTGGTCATGGAGCTTTATTTAGTTTTAAGTTGTCTATTGTCTTCGCTGTGTTGTCTTCAGTTATCGCATTATTAATGGCTTCGATTTATTTTCCCCGCGTATTTGACTTGCGTGTCAATGTCGTTTTCTTCTTTTTCAAAAAGTTGTTTGTAGTAGTCGAGGTAGCTGCTGGGTTGTTGGGTACCCTCTCTGGTTGTACTGCGTGGCTTTCTTCATTGTTCGTGTTAGTTTGATATGGGTGTTCAAATATTGTCACATCTCTTCTCGATTCCATCACGTGTATGGGGTTGGGAACGGAGGCTACTGAATCCTGATGGGTCCCGTCAGGAGAAAATTTTCTTTTTTTTATCGTCTTCTGCTGATCTAGTCTCATTATCTGAATTATCGTTTGGCAGCGGAGAGTGATCTGGGACTTTTTTTTTTTGACTTCTTTCTCCGTAATTTTTCCCTTGTTCTTTTCCTTTTCATTCTTTTGTTGTCTTCTTCCTCCTCGGAGTCTCTCTTGAATTGTTTGTGGATTTGCTTCTATTCCTCGCTTCTGCTCTTTCTTCAGAAAGAAGTGGCCATTCGTCCCAGTTTTGAAAATATCTGATACCCCTTATATTTATTTGCAATCTCATTTCTTCTCTATTATCATATGACCATTGTTCTGATGTAACGAATTTACCATTCCTTTAGTTTGGTTGCATTCACCACCCTACAATACAGGTTTTCACACTGCCGCGACATGTGTCTGTCTTTTTGCAATTTCAGCAGATGGAACACCTGCCTTCAAATTGAATAGCCGTAATATGGCCATCTCCTTTGTTATTCAATAAAAGGTAATGGCGTTCTGTAGAATTTTGCTACATTACCTTGATCCATCAGTCTCACAAATGGTTCAGTATCTGGCTGTGACACTGCTTTAAGCAGGTGTTTAATTCTTCCTCAGTATAGCCTGGTTGAATCCATCTGATTATTCCCCTCTCCTCTTTCTTGTCTACATGCATCGTTGAAATTAAATATATGTGAAATGGCCGATCCCTCCATTTTTCGTTTGCCATGCTCTACCATATGTAGTTTCTGAAACGAATTGTTCGACGAGAGTGTTACATACCATGTTTTTACGTCACTGTAGTTGTAAACTTGTATGACCTCTGTTGAGGGTACTCCGGTTAAGGTAACAAAATGTGTCCGGAATGTTTCATGTGGCATTCCTGCCACAACAGTCGCATCTATGATACTGACTTCTAAGGCTCTATGAGAGTTCTTTCCTTCTTGGAAAGTTTTGTCCTCGACCTCTAGAAAGATACCCTTCATGATTTGTGCTAGGGCCTGCTTGGCCGTCATCAACACTAAAAAGTAAAGAGAGTAAAAGTATCTACAATAACATAAACAATGCTTAAAATACATTCCACATATGAATAATAAATCCGCAAATGAAAACGAAAATCACAAAAATCCCTTTCACGTGAGACAGCTGTCTCTCTTGCTGAGAAAACGGCCGGGATGATTTGGAAGATCACTGCAGGCTAGGCTAATAAAGTTCAATTTAAAAAAAAAATTTGAACACTTTTATTTTTCAATTTAAAACAAATACAATAAAATACCACGTTATTTTGGGTGGATATTTACAAGGTAGTTACATTGATGTACAGAGTATAGTAAATAAATAGCGAAATAAGTAAATGAATACATAAGATACATTGAATTTAAGCTTGCTGGTTGAAAAATTAGACAAAGGCTGGTTTTGAACTTTTTTCCAACAAAAGTGGGTGAAAAAGTATAACATATGGAAGAATAGTCGTAAACAAAGCTGGTTCCCATGGATTTCATCCCATTCTGTACAATAAACATAGTAAATACAAAAGAAATATGAATACAAACGAGTCCAAACTGTTGGGTTGGGCGGGGAGGGGGGATTTCACTTTTTTTGTTACTTATGTACACAGTAGAGTAGTCACACACACACACACACACACAAACACACAAAACATAGTTGTTTTACACAGATTTCATTTACGGTTGTACAATAGTGAATTCGAAAAAAAGATAAATAAATTAATGAATAAATATTCGAAACTGATGTTGGGGTGGGTGGTGAGGTCGTTGAAACAGTTAAAAGGGATGTAGGGTTATCGTGTCTGAGGGTGATGTGGGCAGAGGAGGGAGGGGGGGGGGTCAAATGTGTCTGGCGAGGCACGGAAAGAGTGTCTGTGTGTAAGTTCAATTATTGTTAAAAAAGCCTTTATTGCACTTTAAAACAAAAACATCAATAGTAACATATGTTACAAAATAGATTTACAATATTGCATTGTTTGTTTATAAAACAAAAAACTACAAGAGATGAATGAAAAATGGATAAATGCAGGCACAAAGCCCAGTTGAAAACAGGTTGTATGTGTAGTCATAAAGATGGAAATGAAATAAAAGGAAACAAAAGGTAATTATGTAAAATACTATTTACATAGTATCAAGATAATATAACAGAATAAAACAAGGAGTAATATTTTACTACTTTAAAATACATGGCATTTTAGACATGTAGCAATATACCATGTTTTATTAAAAGTGTGCGGGGTGGGGTGGCTGCTTTTCATTACTGCATTCAGCAAAACGGTGAACAACGGTACCAAATCTCAAGAGGCAGTTTTTACCTGGTGAGATGAGGATTACATAAAATAATGACGCATTTCTAAGATATTGTGAGCTTATACAAATACAATTCCAACAAATTTGGAGCAGCTGCCTAAGCTAAATAAAGTTTAAAATAGGGTGACATAGAAAATCCGGAGGGAAAAAAGGTACACAAGAATTGTAATCCCATAATTACCAAGATTTCCAAGAGGGACTAGTTGTCTCCCTTGAATATGAAAATAATACCTCCAGAACAGACGAAAAATAAGCCATTTACAAGTTTAGAGTTTAAAATAGGGTGTAATGAGGATAACAAAAAGGATAGATGATATTCCAAATATGTAAGCTTATACTAAGAGAAGAGTACTTTAAATAAAGTTTAAAATATGGTGACATAAAAGCATGGCAAAAATGTGAAAAATTGCTGCGTTGCTTGAAATGTATGGTGGGTGAAGTATTGTGTCTAAAGCAGGGGTCTCCAAACTACGGCCCGCGGGGCGGATGCGGCCCGCGAAGTCCTCTCATCCGGCCCGCGGAGATCTTTTTGTCCAAGGAAAAACCATCTGTTGGTGATGGCTGAGGAACTTTGCTCAGAATAATCAAAGACATGCCTGGAACAAACTGGCTCCCGAACTGAAATTTCATGGGTAATGCGGCCCTCGGACAGAAAAGTTTGGAGACCCCTGGTCTAAAGCATTTTTTTAACTGCCGAGAATAGAAGGGGATATAATTTATCCTAGTGTATAACGAGTGTATTTTAGTTGTTGTCTCCCTTTGACCAATC